GTGGACTCCAAACGCCAGATTACTTGAATGGGAAAGGAATCTACCATGTTGCCTCAGGTGACAGCCACAACCCTTTTTGTGACCAGCTGCTTTTGGTGCCTGGTGCTGGCAAGATAGCTCATTCCCACTAGAGTGTAGCATTGTGATGTCCTGCCCATCTCTGACCATGTGTACCAAGTTGAGATGATCAGTGGGCCAGACATCAGGATGCCTTCAGCAGTCACGGCCCTAGGTTTATTTGTGCTATGTGGCAAATGGTTGAGATACAGCCTAAGCATGAAACAAGGCCAGCTGAGTGACTCCCATGCTTGATGGTGGAGACTTGACGGGTCTCCACAATTTGCCTTGCTCTTCTGTCGCAAACTCTAGGTGCCTGCTGGTGCTGATGCTCAGCCAATTCATCCTCTTCAGTGCCAAATCTCATGAGAGCTGGATGAACCAGAAAATTAGTTTGGCAAGGTTGGTACTGAAGGAATTTGAGAGTATCTTTCTCCTTGGAGAGAGGGGTTTGTGCAAGGTACAAGGCCAAGCAGCGTCTGTGGGGAAGGGGAAACCCAGTTCTGCAAAGCAGATAAGTGTTTTGCATGTCCTCATATGATGGTGGATACAGATGTGTTATATGTGACTGCTCAGTAGAAGTGGTGCTGGGGCATTTCAGGACTTTAAGTTCCTTCAAGTAGTGTGTGCTCCTCACTGGAGCTGAACCTCCAGCCTTGAGGTTTACAATTGAGAAGTGCCTGGGAGAATGACTGCTTCTTTCCCCTGTCACCTCTCCTACCTTCAAACACTGACCATCCCACAGAGCTGCATCCAAGTGTAGGCATGGGGTCCCAACCATGAGATGACACCACGAGCCTGCATCATCCAGCCCAGCGCCCAACATGCCATGGGTACGTGTCTCCATGCATGGCTTACTTGCAGCACTCAGAGTCATTGTTTGATCGTTTGGTTCCACAAACAATCTTGCTCCCTCCGCAGGAGGAATTATCCTTTTTTCCATCAGTTGATTTTGGATCTTCCTACTGTGAAGCGATCCAAGCAGTGAAGAGCTTGTTAATCCTGCTAGCGCAGAGCCATTCTGAATAAACTGACTCACAAGGTAGCGGTTGTTGCCGCTGAAAGCCTCCGGATAAAAAGGAGATGTTTGATTTGTCCTCCTGGGCTGATGCACAGCCTCTGTTTTGCTGCTGAATTCCCATGTATCACGGAGGGATCGTCCTTCATGATGCAGCTCCAGAGGCTGAGAAGGCAGCGCTGCTTGGCTCCATGGTGTGCAATCGTCTTGGCCACCGACGTGTTGGCTCTCCGGGGGTGCTGGTAGAAGTGATGTGGGAAGCTCAAACCTGAAGTCATCCTTCCCTGCTTGCCAGCATGAATCATTAAATCATCTGCTTTTACAGGCTGTGGCCAGCTAGAAGCACCCGTGGAAAGGGAGAATTCACTCTCCTTCTGCCTCCATGCAGCCACACGGAGCCAAATCCTAGCCTGGTGCCACTCCAGTGGTTTTACACCAAAGATATTCACTGTTTTCAAAACTAAGCTAAAAGTGTTATTTTTTGTTTTTTCCCCAAAGATGGTCTCAACCAAAGATTCTTGAAGATATTTTATAAAGTACTTTTGGGGAGGGGTCAAGAACACCTCTTGCTGTACCTGAGCATCTACCAAAAGATTACTCCCATGCTGTATCTGAACATCTACTAAGGGATTACTCCCACTGGCCCACCCTAGCCACGTAGGGTGAGAAGGGCAGAAAGAACAAGAAGGAGGTATCTGCATGCAATGTGAACTCCCCCTTTAATATAGGGGATTTTTACTCCCTGGCACCTGATGGTCTGCCAGGAAATGTCCTGTGCCCATTGAATATGAAGCTGGGCTGCCACAGCTGTCCACGGGTGAGCTAAAACTATCAGACCTGGTTTTGGTTTCTGTTGGGTGATCCTTCTGGCGGTGGGAAGGAGGAACTTGTTGAGATGATGATTTCATTTAGATTGAACAACTTTCCTAAGTGCAAGTTCCTTCAGCAAAGCCAAAGATGGTGGCAAGTGGTATCTGGCAAGCAGAGCCTTTGGTTGATTCTCTCATCTCATTTCCTTTTCTGGGTGGAAACAAAGTGATGTTTCTTTTTTTCTCAAGTATTGAGACTCAAGACAGCCTTCTTTAATGCCAGGCTGCAAAGGTGGAAAAGCACAACAGCAACAAAACATACAAATACCCCAGCAGGCTATGGACACCAAAATACAGAAAAATGGCTTGAGGTCTAGAATAACCACAACTGGCACATGACTTATTGATTACACCCGTCATATGATCAGCCCTTAGCTAGTTATAAATATTATATTAGAAGTATTAGTGAAACCAGATGGGTTGCAACCAGTCCAGAATGTGGTGAGCCTGCGGCCTGAAATAAAGAGGGAAGAAGCACAATGATTTGGCATTAAAAATCATCTTTGTGCTAGAACCAAGAACTGATGAGGAAAAAGAGGAAAAGTCACAGAGTTGGCTGAGCTGTGCACATGATGCCTGGGAAATCATTCTTCTGTGTCCCAAGGCATCAAAATCTATTTCCCAAGAGTCTGCAGTCCATGTTGGATGTTTCATCCTGGTGCTAACTAGCTCTGCTAATTAGTCAGATTGTGCTTTTTTTCGGGGGCAGCAGTGAAAGAGAGAATGTGAAGGCCATTGCCCACTGTGTGTTTCTTGTAAAGGGGCTGGACATGGCCAGACTTTTCCTCTGGGCGTGCAAGTATTGCGCAGGGCTGGTGCTTAGGTTGGTGCAGAGGGAGTGAGGAAAGAGGTAATTGCAGCTTTCTCCATCAGTGCCTCCTTCCTTGACCCCTTCAGATGCTATCCCCCATGTTTGAGAAGGTTTTAGCCCCCTGCTACCAGCACCTGCTCTTGCCTCTGGGTGCTTTACATGTCCTCAAACACACCCCAGCAACTTCACATTTTGCATTAGTCCTTCTTCTGTTAGCTCCTCTCCCAGAAATCTGTGCTGGTCTCATCTCCACTTGGAGGACCCCAAACATTTATTAACTGCATCAGGAGACCCTTAGAGCCCCTTCGTCTCCAGGGCCTGGTCCAGGAGCACTGGGGCATCCCATGAGCAGCGACCTGGGGCCACAGGACGCGGTGGAGCTGGGCTGGCCACACATGGCCAAATCCTGCCATAGAGCGAGTATTGGGTGCATCAGCATTTGCATCAGTCCCGGCTGTAGGAGAGCCCTGGAGTTGTCAGTGTTGCAGCTGATTTATCACCCTGCTCGGGAACGGAGCGGTCAGCAATACGGCATCAGAGCGCTGTCGCCGGCTGTTAATAGCCGGGCGGCTTAGGGTCGCGCAGGTGCACGCCGAGCCCTGTGTGACAACCCACAGCCCGCGCAGCTGAAAAAATATGCCCGGCATCTGGCACTGTCCTCGCGTCTGGGCCTCTGGGCTGGCACGCCAGCCCCCCACAGCCGGTGCCTCCCGGCGTGGCCGGAGCTGGATCCTTACACAAACACACAGAGGCGGCCGGAGCGGAGCTGTGCCAGGGATGGATTTGGCCCTATCGTGCAAAGCAGCTCTCAGTCATGCCTCCAGCCTTGTCTGTGAGGTCCTCACCAACCTCACCCGTGCCTGCATCTCACCTCCTTCCAGCTTCCTTCCTCCAGCCAAATCGTGTGTCACCATCCTCTCCCACCTGGTCCTCTAGAGACATCGTGCTCTCCAGCTTTGGTCCCCGGGCAGGTCCCTCTGCCCACTCTTGTGCCCCTCCAGTCCTACTGAAAGGCTCATGGAGATGTTGGGGCTTGCCGGCTTGTTGAGGGCTGGTTGCATCCATCCTGCTCGAGCCATCATGGGGGAATTACCTGGCAACTTCTAATCAGCTCACATTTTGTGGTGAGCTCCTGGGGTAGATGGCTTTAGGCTACATACTTGCTTTGGTTGGGTTTTTGAGGACTGTATACATTTGCGGCAATACAGGGATACAAATGACTAATAATAGGAAAGCATGTGCTGGGTCTGTGTCCACTCCTTTCTGTCCCAAAAAGGAATGGGCTCTCTCCAAGAGCCCTAACCTTGTCTTGAAGGCCAGGACAACATGCTTTGCTGATGAGGTGGCCTGAATTTCATCACCCTCATATCACTTTTGGTTCTTGGCAGACGTGAGAGTCTGTTGCTTATAATACTACTTACCTCTTTAAAAGGGCTCTTCATCTCAAAGAGCTTTAAAAAGAAGCCAAGATCATTATTTCCATGTTCCAGATGGAGAAACTGAGGTATGGGAAGCAAAACCGATTTCCCCAAGTTACACAGCAGTGCTGAGGCAGGAGCAGGGAAGGGCTCAGTCCTGCCCATCTCCGGTGGCCACCCTGCCGTGCGCTCCAGCCCTGGAGCACAGGGTTGGGTGGGATCGCCTACTGTGACATTTATCCTTCGTGGCGATCGAGTGCATCCACGCTTTCTTTCCTTGCTGTCCATCAGTGCTCCCCTTGAACCACACTGAAGGTGTTCCTGGGAAGAAGGAGGCCCTTGAGGGCAGGTGATTAGGTGTCATGGTTGAATGGACAGCTACAGCATCTAGACGGTTGTATGGGCTGGACACTCTTATGTGATCCTTTTTACAAGGATTAATCATCTAGAAAAGAAGTTGGGGAAATGTTTTTTCCCCAAGATGTTGTCAGGAACTTGGGTATTTTATTAAATAATGGTTAAAGATACTTTATAATAAAACCAAATAATTTTCACTCTTTTGCTGTGCATGCATTTTGTGAGACAGAGTGTCTTTCTGCCCTTAAGACTAAAAAAGGCACAGCAAGGAAAAGAAAAGGTTGCAATTTCCATCTTACAGTAGAAGGATCCGGGCCAGGGGAATTCTTCTCAAGATCACACAAGAAACTGGTGTCTGACCTGGGAATGCAATCCATTTTAACTAAAGCCCTTGTCCAGTGATTTAATGATAAGCTCTTGTCCCAAGTATGAATCTTTTAAGATGAAAAGGGACGCATAAAAGGAGAACGATGGAGAGCTGGGATGCTGAGTGCATTTTGGTCCGCTCTCCCCTGTGGCTGGATCAAGATTCAGAACCAGGACAAAAATGTAAAAAGAAAGGAGTCGATGGAGAGACAAGAGTGATCGAGCAAAAAATCATCTTTGCTGGTGCAATGGCTCTGAAAGCCAGAAGCAGAAAAAAAAAGTTGCATTTCAGGCGGGGAGTGAGTTGAAGTTGCGGTTCAAAACCTGATGGTCTTTGGACTTGGGTGGGCTGGTGGCTGTGTCACCGGGCACCATGACATGGCAATGCAAGGGCAGCTGCCAGGTCGGGAGACAGCAGTAGAGCACAGGTACAGACCCCGCTTAGGAGACCCCTCAGGGATCCCTATCTGCTGATCATAGCTGGGATCTGCCTCCAACGATCTATAGTTTCTCTCCAATTTCTTCATGGATTGATCAGATTTGCCTATGTGTAAGATCACCTCTCCTCCGTCTGCAACGGCAGTCTCCTTGGGTGGCTTTGCCCTGTGGAGTGGTGACATTGTAGTGGAAGATGGATGGGTGCTGGTGATGGGTGTCACAGTGCTGTGTTTAACTGTGAAAATGCTTCTGAACGGTATAGTACTGGTACGGATGGAGAAGGCAACAACAAAGGCAATTCTATTGCTCCATTTTACCTCTGCAGAATTGCCACAGTCGACATCAGCCCATCATGTGCCGGTGACTGTGCTGCATTCAGCTGCTGGCCGAACACTGATTTCCCTCATTAGCAAAAAGGGCAAATCCCTAACGATGGTGGTTGCTGCGAGTCGGGCCACCAGCTTGCTCACAGCCACTCCTGCCGGGCCACCCTCCCTCCCCGGGTCATTTGGGCTCTGCGTGCAGCCTGGCACTGCACAAACGATATAGCAATGAAAAACTACAGATGTGCAGACAAAAATGCCTGTCGGGTCTTTGCCTCCTCCTGTGCTACAGGGAATTAATGGACATTTTTCATTAGGGGAAATTTTTCTTTTTGTCTTTTACCTACTTTCTCCATTCCTGTAAGCAAGTTAACCTTGGAAAAAAATCCTATTACCTCCCAAAAATATGAACAAAAGTATTTTCTCTAGTGTTTGATACTTGTTACTGGAGAAAAAAATATTCTTGTTTGCTGGAGGGTATTTTCGGAGGCATCGGCACTGCTGTCCTGTCCCCCTGCCCCGTCCCTTCCCCGGGGCTGCCCACTCCCGGGGCAGAGCTGGCACACGGTGCTGCATCTTCTGCCTTGTGCGTGGAGGCAGCACCAGGCAGGATTCAGCCTTGTCCATCGAAACGCAACTTCTTCTGCCAGATGTCACTGCTGCACGGCCGAGCAGACCAGGGGGTTATTCCTGCAGGAACGTGCCTTTCAGAAATACCATTCTCCAGCTCCCAGGCCCCAAAACTGCTGGGGCTCTGTGCCTGGAGGGAAAAAAAAAAAAAAAGGGGGGAAAAAAAGCAACATACACACACAAGAAAAAAAAAATCTGAAGGCATCCAGTTGCTCCTGGGCAAATTGCCAGTGATTGAGTGACCTGCTGCTTCCCCAATATTGCATTCCGCTGGCATGTCTTTAGTCCTGGCTGACGCCAGCCATCTAACTCACCCCCAAAGCAAACATTTCCAGTTGGCACTGCTGCCTTGTTTTTCTGAAGAACCGATTCATGCCTCCCTTAAAAAGTTTTACTATATCCATTTTTTTTCTTTTTTTTTTCTTTTTTTTTCCTGGTGCGTGGAGCCACCGGGGAATGGCTGCCGCTTCAGGGATTTCTCCTTAAAATAAAAAAAAAGAGAGAGAAGGGGGGATTTTTTTCCACCTCCCTTTTTAGCGAGCATGATAAATCCATTCAGAGTGCTCCTTGTGCGCGAGTGTGGAAACCTTCTGCTAAAAGAGTTATTCTGTTCTCATTCACAGATAATTGCTCCCCGAGGGGCCGGGGAGAGAGCGAGGAGGAGAGACCGATAATCCGGGAGGACATGGATACAAATATCAGGCTGTGGCGCTGAGTGCCTGCTTAATTTATTGGGAACGAGCTGTTACTCAGCACTTTGCAGGATGAGACCCGCTGTAATTCTGTTATTTAAGGAGAGACGGATTCGAACGACGACAACAACAACCCACCCGGGGCCGTTGCGGAGACGGGCGGCGTTGGAGAGGAGCACATGCTGGTTTATTTTTTACGCTATGGAAAGAATGAGCTTTTAGGACACAAAGTCCTCGCGGCCGGCGAGGGGGTGGTGGGAGGGGAGCGAGGGGACAGCCTGGCTCCGTGCTGGCCATCCTGACGTACAGACCCAGGTTAGGGTTGCTGCTTGGCCAGCTGGGATGATGTATGGCAGCAGGGGGGCTCCCCCGAAAAGGGCATGGCTTCACCGCCAGACAGCACTGCCAGCATCCTCACCATCCAGCGGGCAGATGGGTGATGGCACCCAGCAGCACCCAGGTCACCCAGGTGGGTGATGGTCTGGACCACCACCAGTGCCCGCCGGCTCCTGCTTGGACCACAGACTGCTGGTTTTTTATTGATTATATCTAATTGCATAGCACACTTGCCCCGCATCTGATGGGCGGCTCTTACGCAGGACTTGACGCAAAAGTGAGAATTCAGCCTCCTGCCCCCTTCAAATCTTCATAGGATTCATCCTGCATCCCCAAAATGGGGGTAAATTACCCAGCAGGATGCCAAGCAGCTTGAACAGGGTAAAGGAAGGCGCCTTCTCTTTCTTGTCTTGATGGACTGCTGCTTTCATTCTGAAATCCCTGTGATATTTGACACATTTGCCTGTATTTTCACTGACCGTTAGAAAAAAAACCCTCTGGGCAGCCAAGGGCTTGGAACATTAGTTTAGACTTTTCTGGCCCAAGTGAAAGTTGCAGTGACATTAAAATATAGTAGGCTTTTCTGCACAAGGTTTCTTTTTTTCAGGGAAAATAAATACATTTGTCTGACCATCTATGAAAGCATCCATCACCTGAACAGAAAGGACCTGAACATGGTTTTCTGTTTTCTCATGGGGTGGTCCAGTGAGGGCTCTCTCTGAAGTAATTTGGGCTATTTACTTCTCCCAGGTCCTTGGGTATGTTTCTCACCTGACTTTCTCTCTCTGTTTGAATGCCCATTCAGCTGGGGAAAGAAAAACCACCAACTCATACAAAACATGGTTCCTCCTTGGACAACATCTTCCACTGTCAAACTAGCAGCTACCACTATGTCCATTCTACAGGTGGGGAAACTGAGGCAGCATGGATGAAATAACTCACGTAAGGAAAATTTTGTTGGATAAGGGAGTCGTAGAGCGCTGTCAATCTTTGTTTAATATGGCTGTTCCAATAAGAGAACCGAGAGTCGCTTTACGGCTTCTCCACATATCACATTATTTCAGGAGAGAAGAGGTTTCTTTGTGGCAGGAGGATTTGAGAACTTTGGTGATGCAGGTATAAATGATCGCTTATAATTCCCTTGAATTTATTTTTCAGTAGGATTAATGGTGATTTTCAATCTGGGGGTTGCAACCCTCAATCAAGGATACCATCCCGGGGAAGTTTTCCCTTCGAAGATCAATAATTGCTTCCCCCCTCCCCTCCTCATGGATTATTGAGTGATTTTTGGCCAAAACGACCCTGTGCTCATTTCATAGTAGCAGCTAGAAGAAAAACTGACAGCTATGAGGTAGTAAAGACAAATGGTGGAAGGCAGAGATGTAGGAAAGTGGGTCTCAGGCTGTGCTTATGAGGAGTGATGACAGCCAACCCGTTTCTCCAGCAGAATGAAATCTGAAGGGGAATACTTCACTCTTTCAGACTGCTAATGTAAATAAAAGGCACACAGAGGGATGCTGGTAGGTTAACAATCAATTAAAAGCAAATATCCCACCCTGTGTGATGTTAGAAGGCTGTGGATGTTATAAAATGAGACAGGGATGAGGCACCATGGCAATTTGCTTAGCTGAGACAACCAGCACAGTGGTGGGGTTTCCCTTTTGGTTTGCAGTTTCACCCTCTGTGAACACTTCAGGGATACATTTAAGTTCATACAAGCAATTGATCAGATTTCAGCTAAAAGAAAAATGATGAGAACGTTTCCACTGATCTTTCAAAAAGTCTTAAGCTACGGGTCTAATGTGATCTGACTGTGTCCCTTCAATGTCTTAATGGTGCTAAAAATGCAGCAGAAATAAATGTCAGTTCCCTGGAAAAGTCATTATTAACTGTTATCTGATTGGTTCTTTTAGTGATGATGTTGTAATTCCATGATGTCATATCTGAATTCTTCAAACCGTTTCCATCTGGTTTAAATGCCATCATCAGGATGGAGCAGGATGGGATCATATATCACCAACAAAACCAAGGTTAAATAAGCCACAAGAAGTGATTGCTTTCGGTCCATGGTAACAGAAGTGCTCAAGTGCAGGGCCCATAACATCTGTCTGGATTCCCATGTTGTTCAAACCATGGTTTTTATTCTACACTGCTCTTCACTGGTACTCCTGGTGGGATGAAGCATGGCATGGTCAACATCTGGACCCTGGTGTTTCCATCTGTGCTGCCAGCTGTTGTGTGAGCACGTGGTAGCTACACCATGCCTAGGAAGAACCAGCCGCAGGAGATGTGCCCATCACATGCTTGGCCCCATCATGCCTGATCCGACCTGCCCGTGTAGATGGCAGCTGTGGTTTGGACGGGTCAATGGGCTGAGCCCACAGCCTGGTGGGATGGGGGAGCTGCAGCTGGAGGAGGCTCCAGCCCACGCTGTATGGGGCAGGATGAGTCGAAGCCCCTGCGATGTCGGTGCCCGGGGAGGCTGCTCTCCTGCCGTTTGCAGCTGCCCCGCAGGCAGGAGGAGGAGGGGTGCTCACTGCCAACTGTGGCCCCGGGGCTAACCCCAAGGCAGCCCTATAACCTGCTGGCCGCAGCCGCTCCAGCTGTCAGGCAGCAGTTGCTGCCTGCGGCTCCGCGTGCGCCGGCCGCCTGGATAGGCACAGCTGGGGAGCATCTCTCATGGTGCCAATGCCATGAAAATGTTGTTGATTTGGCACCTGTCGGCAAAATATATACGGCCTCCCTATAAGCACCTGGGTCTCATACAGCCTACAGTGTGCAGCCTCACAGCTGAGCTGTCAGGGAGGGAAAAATGCCCCGTATCGTCCTCGTTATGCTGCCAGTATCTGTGTGCCTTGGTTCCCTGAGACACCCCATGTCCTTGGGGCACCTGGCAGCAGAAGAAGGACCGACACTTGGGTTTCTCTGCAAGAGCCTGTCCTCGTGTGGCACAGCTGCTGGTGACAAAATGGCCCATTGAGGTTGATGCCAGGGCCATCTCTGAGATCGAGAAGTACAGCCCATCACTGTCTTGGTAAAGACACTATGACCTTCCTTTCCCTTTCTGGACATCACGGGACACATACTCAGCCTTACCCTACTGGGACCAGCTAAAGGTGTAGCCCTCTGCCCTCAATGACATGAGAAAACCTCTTGCTGTGTGCAGGCTGCTCTGGTCCCCCCCAAACCCTCCTGTCCCAGCATGTGCTCCAGCCAAAAAATTACTATAGTTGTTAGCAGACTCAAAACTGTACAACTCCCTACTCCGTTTCCTAATTGTTTTTTTTCTTCTAGTGTTTTCCAAGGGTGGTTTCTTTACTTTGGATGGGTCAAAACCATACTTCCAAACACCCCCAGGTGAGGTCTGAAATGTGGTTTGAGCCTTGCTGCTCAGACCGGTGCCTGGCCCTGGTCATAGATGCTTTTAGTGCCCAGCACTTCCACACTTTCCTAGGGAGCACATAAATAGCATCATTACAGTCCTAAAGCTTAGGAACCAGAGTGCAAATAAAAAGTACACTTTAAAAAATATATATCCTCTGTTTTTGAAGGCAGTCTCATGATCTGGGGAGCCTGACTCATGGGTTTGATAGCTTGCTTCTGGCAATAACAAACAACTTCTCATCACCCGACAAGGAAGAGTGATGGGCAATGTCAGCAGCCCATCTGAAACACTGCTGAGAATATAGATGCTTGATGCAGATTATGCTGTTATATCCTACAAAAATAAATGGTACATGGAGAGAATTTATGGGGACGCAGCCCCGGAGCTGGCTAAGAGCATTCTCTAGCACCATCTAGTGCTCTGAAAGTCCAGTTTCTTAAAAAATGCTGAGATTCAATCATCATATAGATCAATACCATAGGCAGTTTTGAGCACCGTGGTGCAGAACCGTGAAGTGATGCGTATCTTGAAATATATTACATGAAAGGGTGAGCATTAAATTGAGTTAAGTGTCGGCCGTGAACTTAGGTAATAAAATGTGGCATATATATTGCAGACAATGCAGATTTGCGATTTATGCTAGCTGGGCTTTGAAAGCAAGAATCCGTATTATTAAAGTACATCTTCAATCATTTCAGAAAATCAGAATGGATTCATAAATTTAGACTTCAGGGGCTGAGCCTGAATATCCCTGAAGCATTTAAAATGTGTCCTCCTTTTCCCCAGCGCATTGCCACTTATTTTCTAAATATCTCTGTCCCTCTCCAAACATGTCCTATCTTAACTTACAGCATTCCTATTTTTGCAAGACTACCTTCAAGGCTGATGATATTCATCCCCAGAGGAGAATACCCCACTTGAAAGAAACAGAAAAGGGAATAGTGATGAGCAACCATCAACACCTCCAGCAGCTGAAGGGAGAGCTGCGTTGAATCTGGCTGTTAAACTGGGGGGACTGGGGACAAATAACTACATAGAGGACACTGTCTGCTTAGTTAAAAGCTCAAGACTCAAGCCAGTTTTGTCAGACACATTCTCAGTAGCCGGTGAAACCCACAGCAAATCTGGGGCCAAGTTTTGAGTGTCAGGAAGGGAACACAATGGCACTATGCTATTATTTAAATATTGTATTTTCCTTATTTGTCTCTTAGATGAGGTTGTACAGAGCTATTGTTGAGCTGTGAATCAAACTTGTGTAATGTTTTCTATTTGGTTTTATGCCTGGCTAGCTATTGCATGATGTACCTTAGCTCAGTGTTTTCAGGATTTATCAGACTCTGATGGAGGAGATATTTTTTACAAACATTTATTATTTCTCTGGTACACTATTTTCCCAATACCTTCTTTTCAGAATGTGATAAAACTGTTAGTAAGGAGATGGTGCTAACAGTTCTCATAAGAAATCTTGTCAGATGTCAGTTTTTCTTCCCTGAGATTCCTTGCGGTAAAAAAAGTGTAGTTACCAATAGCCAA